TGAAAAAGAAATGGAAATAAATGTGAAAGATTACAAGAAATACTTGCTTATTTTAATCAAATACTTTTTTTCATTTGACCAAACAATGAAAAATGTCTATCATTCTTTAAACAGATAAATTCAGTTAAGTGCAACATTTTAATTTGGTTTGTATCTCCACAATTTTCTTTAGAGGAACTATTTCTGTTTGTGGATAGAAAAATTTATTTGAGGTTATTTGCTTTTAAACTAAATGTGTTCATTTTTACAAATAACAAGGCAAATTAATCTTCATTCTTGAACAGTAGAAACTAATGGATAACCACTTTAGCAATGATTGACTATTTCTCTGAGAATTTCTCTGTGAAGGGCTAAAATGAAAGAGATAGTCCAAATGACCACAGGTTTAGAATCTTCAGAAAATGAAACATAGTATCTCATGATCACAGGCTCAACATTTTTATGTCAATCAATATATTTTTGACATTTCTTACATACCTTTTTAAAACTTAATTTTATTTCCTTATCAAACTGAAAACTCAAACTTTTTAAAGTTAATTTTTACAATCCCTTCTGAGAATATTCAATAATAAAGTCACAACTTAGAGCTGTAAATAAAACCAACAATGTGGAAAAATATTAATGTACTAAAATCTCAATGAATATGAAATATTCCTTCTTTTTTTTTTTTTTTTTAATTTTTAACTGAAATGTATATTTACATTTTTAATCATTAACAAGTTATATTTTAAAAACTTACATAAAATTTTAAATAGGCATTCTTAGGTTAATTAAAAAAAAATTATATTTTAAATCTTTTTGATTAACAAATCTTGTTCAGAAAGTTTAAAAACCACAGAAAAAAAAGCAAATAATGATATTACTTTTTGCTTTGAGTATAGGCAAAATCTTTGTAGAAGAATGTGAATATTTAAGTCCAATTGAGCAAGAATCTTACTTCTGTTTGATCAGGTGTTATAGTTAAGATTCCATCTGTTGTCTTACAACTGGTCTGTGATTCTATATCATAAAAAATCTCATTTAACAATTATATGCCTTAAATGCTGTCACAATTTTAATAAATACTTGTTCAAGATTTGAATTATTGTTGTAAAGATTGTTCTTGCAATTTCTTTAAAACAAAAGACTCTTCTTTGCAGTCAGGCATTTTGAACATCCACATTGGTGTAAATCTCTTCAAGTTCTGTTTGGTTGATGAGGTGTAAAATATTTAAAATGAGAATAGAAATTATTTTTCTATTTTACTTTTACAATTTTGGAATAGAAAAAGAATGAAACCAAATCTATACATCTGTTGTCTTTTTTTGATTAAATATGACTTTTTGAAGAAATTCTCAGCTCAATTCTGCTCCAGAGAAAAATTAAATTTCCTAATCCAGAAAGAATCAATCCTCAAGAATCAATTCAGTTTGTACCATTTGCTTCCTCATCAATATAATCACTCCAATAAAATCAAAATTGTCACTAATAAAAATTCTATACATTATTTTTTAAACTTGGGATTAACACACTTATAAACTATTTTTCTTTCTTTTTTTAGATAAGAATACTTGAGGTTTATAGACTGAATCTTTCTCAGTCCTTATCTTACATTTTCTAATTCTAGTTTAACTCATAGAATTATTTGGGTTGGGATTTCAATATTAGACAACAAATATGAATTTCCAAAGAATCCAAGCTTATATCATTTTACATGCACCTCTCATTATCTTTATATCGGAGAGTGTCATTTGTTACTGTTGCCAGAAAGATTATATACCAACAACAAAGCTATCATTGTCTTTCTGATTGTTAATTCTTAATACATTGTATCCAGCATTTTCTTTGTCAACATCAACCTTTCAAAAACCTATATTCACAGTTACTTAAATTTATTGAAATTGACCTATTTGCAAATATTTTGTATATTTGTAAGAATTGACATAATGTGAAGGGTGGTAGTTTTTTTTCTTTGCCAGTGAGACTTGAACTTTGTCATAAAAAAGAGTTTTGATTTGAATTCTATCCACAATTTTCTACATATTTTTTTTTTTTTTTTGAATAATGAAATTTGTCAAAGAGAAATTCATTGCATCTGTAATGTCCATTATTAACAAGTTATCCAACAGTGAAAGAAAGGAAATTGGAAACTATTAAAATCAAAATTGAACAATGAAATTTAGAAGTTGAGCAAAATCAAAATGTTTTGGGCTTTCTCTATTAAGCATCCTCATTCATAAGAATAGGAGTTTCTTTGGAGATAATTTCTTCATATTGTAGCCTAGAGGTTCCTGTGCCTTTTCCTTGATGGCTGAAAACTGCAAATGTGAGATGGTTCAGTTAGGTATCACTGATTGCTTGCTTTTCTTCTGATTTCATTTATATATATATATATATATATATATATATATATATATAATCAATGGTTGTTTTAAAAGTAGAATTTTAATCTGTGCATAATTAAAGTTTTACTATTCAAATCAAAAGGAAATTACATAAAGAATTGACATTGGGAGCTGTTGTGATCTGTCCCTGATTTTAATTTAAGATGCATTTGATGTCCAGGATTTTACATAGGTATCTTGTGTCAAAGGTGTCCAATTTCTTCTGGTTGGTCTTAAGTTGCCATGTTTCGAAGCCATAGAGCATCATGGATATCACATTCGAATTGTCGAACCATCATTTGGTCCTCAGGGACAATCGCCTACTGTTCCACATTTTTTTCTCAGCCAGTTGAATGCTTTCAAATCTAGCATTTCAGTTTGTGGTCTAGGTCATAAGTGTTATCAATGGAATTGCCAAGGTATATGAAATTCTAGCTCCTCAATCTTCTTCTGATCAATGAAAACATCTGATGACATGTTCCCTGCTCAAAATGTTCTTGGTTTTTTGGTACTGACAAAACGACCAATAATGCCACAAGACTTAAAAATATCTTTGTGTATTCCTCGGTAAATAAATCTTTGCCGTTAATGTTAAAGGGAGATAATTCATCTCCAACATGAATATATTTAATTCAAATAGTTCACTATTTGAACTTGGCTTTAGCTACTACAAATATGATTCTTCCAAATTTTGTCTCTATAACATTTTAATCTGCATACGTGAATTATTTAATGAAATTTTAGATGATCTTAATTTTCTCCTAATGAACTAACTGAAGTCTTTATAATTTTTACTAATTATTTTAAATATGTTAAGTGAATTTACTGATAAATCCATCTTTATCTTTTGGCCAAATGCTGAACTGTTTGTTCCTTAAAAAAAAAAAAAAAAATTTACTCAATGTTTTTTTAATATTTGTATTCATCTTAAAAAAAAAAAATTGTCATTACCATTTGTTATTTTTGTTGCATTGACATAGCAATCCTTTCACCGGACAAAGCACCAAACATGTTAATATATCTGAGTAAGTAAAAAGCATTAGTTTGCAAGGCAAGAGTTGTTTTAAAATTCAAATCATTTTCATCATAAACATAAAAACAAGCACACGTTCCCACAAAATTACTTGTTTTTAAAATGAGTATATGAAAACTCCATTCATTCCACCCCCACACCCCTACTACCACCACCATCTACTTAAATTTTTCCTGTTTCAAATATCAAGTTATTGAGTGGAGGAAGAAAATCTATTCCCTCTGCCCCAAACTGATTTTGAGAGCAATCTGTTAAAAAGCAAGTGGCGAAATGATGATGGCTGACTGTTGGGCAAAGCAGAATAACAAATTAGATGTGTAATGAGAAATGTTTGGGAGGCTGCAATTAGTGATTTTTTTTTTTTTTTTTTTTAAGCCTGGATTCTTTTTCTGTTTCTTTTGATGATGTAATTTGCAGTTTGGACACAATACAAACCATTTACTCATTAACAAGCCAAATACACCCATTTGTTGTTAACTTTACTAACAACCCAACCCAAAACATTGTTGTACACACTTTTTTATTTTTGTTTAGAAACACTATGAAATTCCTCATAAAACTTGTAATACAAGCCTCTAAAATTCATTGGGACGTGATAGATTGGCAAAGATAGAAATTGGTGTTCTGTTTTGTTTCTCACCCTCTCTAAAAAGCAATTTTTCTCTTGAAAATGCAATCATGATTAACATTTTAGAGAGCAAGAGTATTGAAATTCATTTGGGGGGGGGCTTATAATGAAAGTTGAAACAATGTTTTTTTTTGTTTTTTTAAACTGCTTCAAATTTTGATGGCCACTGATGAAACCTAAAAATAAAATTTAAAGACCTTATAATCCAAATGTATTGCAACCTGCATGTACATTTTGTATACTTTGCCAATTTTTATTTTTGTTTGAGGCTGTATCTTTCAATAGGCTGACATGTGAATATGCAACACAAATATTCCAGAATAAATTTCTGGAAGGAAAATGACTTTCTAGTGATTGCTTTTGCCAGTCTGTTAAATAAAATCATTTTACAAAGTAAGCTATTTTTGTTTTTTTTTGTTTTTTGTTTTTTTAAAAGCAACAACTGCTGTGCATTGATATGCATTTAACCAGCCAATTACTTGCTAAAGGCTTCAGATTTATTGTAGAATCTTTCTTTTTGTCTGTTGGCTTCATTGATCAGAATATTGGAAGGAAAATATTTCGTTCCAGTCATTGTGCATAGGAAAAAATATTTTAACAAGGCTCTTCCTTTTGAAATTGTAATGAAAAAGAATCTGAAGAATTCTTTAAACATGCTTTTCCATGTAAGTGATTTTTTTTTCTTTCCCTTGATTTGAATTTAGAATAAAAAAATAAAAAAGAACAAACAAAAAACACTTCAAATTGAAATATTATGGAGTACAATACTGTAAAACTAAAAAGTAGTTAAAGTTGGTTTCATTACAAATCTGGTTGGGCAGCAAGATAATTAAAATTCTTAAAAGCCTAAAATTAGGAAATCTTACCCTTTCTAAAAAGAAAGAAAAAAAAAAAAAAACCTCCTATAACATAACTTTGTGCCCTCTTGTCTAGTGGTCATTAACTGCTGAATGGATTGCTTGCTTTCTTTTGCCAGGTCTCTGCTTCCTTCTTATTTGTGTTAAATACAAGTGGTGAAGAAATGATGAATCTGCCTTTTGCTGCTATCTCCATGCTATCTTTGATCATGTGCTATTCTACTACACTGAGTTTTCCTGAGAAGAATGTAGCAGGTTTTCTATCAGAAAATGGTTTCAATTTTGTCTAGATCTCTATGAATGGAGATGTGTCTGCCTCTTAACTGTTTTAGTTGGAGGTTCTAAAGAAAGACAATTATGATTTCAAGTGATGTTTGCCTTCCAGACGACAGCAATTGTGGGGACTGACTAAAGCCTGTGGATACTCTGAAGAGATTATTTGTAATTTATTTGTATATATTGGGGTTTTTGACAAATTGGATGGACACTCTTGTTAACTTGTTTTATATCCCTGAAAAATAAATGAGAATTTAATCTTTTGGCTCTTAATTTGATAAGAGAACTATTTGAGGCCATTTATTAATTCTTATCTCTTTGAGAAACTTACATTTATCACATTTCTAAATATAGAATTTGATATGTAACCTATCCCTAGATTTCCTGATCACTGACCCTTTGATCAAGCTATCTACTCACACACCAGTTAATTCCCATCTGGCATTTCTGTGAATCAACTATCCACAAATTTGTCTAGTCGCTGGCTTAAGTTTACATACACAAATTCATCCTTCAAGCTCTTTATCAGAAATGTGAGATACCCTTAATTGTGAGTTAAATACTTGGGTAGCTAAACTGAGCAACTAATTCTTTCTAGCTTATAAAATTCATCCCAAGAGACTTGCTATTAGTTATCTTGTTTTGGGATTTTTTTTTTCTCTTTAATATCAGTTCTGTAAGAGATTTATTGAATTAAAACTACGTCAAATGAATGACTATCAGGTCAGTTGAAATGGAGAAAAAAATGGAAATGTGTGCTGTCAATTGACTCAAATGTAGAATTTGAATGTATCTCTAAGATGAAAATGCAACTGCATTGAGCTTGAAGGATTAAAAAAAAAATTTGTTCAGCTGTTTCCAGTCTTTTCAATCAGATAAGCCTGGATGAAACAAGTGCAAATATTTCTCTTTGGCTGGAGAAAAAAAAAAATTGTACCAGCTACAATAATATTGAATACCAGCCAGAGTAGAGGCTGTACTACAATGTGAGTCACAAATGCCAAATGTAAAGTTTCCACCTACTCAAGATTATGAAGATGAAAATAAGACTTGTAAAGAGTTAATACAAAACAAATTTCCTATCAAGCAAATAAGTTACATAGATTTGCATGTGAATGCTAAATAAAAAATGTCAGCCACTTAAGTTAAACAGGAAAAGAAACAAATGAGTGCCACCAACTACCACAATGAATAGGGGTCATTCTGCCAGTGGCCAAAGGCAATGTAAAAGTCTTACTGGAACCAAAAGAAATCTGAATAAACTGGCAACTAATATTGTCAATATAAAAGGTGTTTAGAAACCAGAACAGTTCTTGGTATTAATATCCAACCGTCATACATTGAGGAACTAAAACAATATGAACACTTGTTTATATGGTGTTAGTTCTCCATAAAATAGCTTTTATCTGCATCTAAGCATGAAGACTGCCAAAAGGTTATCTTTTTTTCCTGGGATCTGGACCTTTAAGTGCTGAAATTGACAGGGTAGAATTTATGAAGAGGAAACGTGTGTGTGTGTGTGTGTGTATATATATATATATATATATATACACACACACACATCTGAAAAACACTCATTGAGATTTGGAAAGTTTAGTGGCCAGGTAACACTCCCCCTGACCTACAGTTGCTGTCATTTATGCTATTTGTTGTTCAGGCTTTTTATAGAGGCAATCAAAGAAGCAATACTCCATTCTATTTTTCATTTTTTTTTTTTTTTTTTTTTACCTAAAATTTGAAAATTAATTAAAAAAAGTTACCTGTCTGGAGGTGTACATTTGAATCACCTGAAAGAACATAAAAACAACTCATTTTTCCATAAGAATGCTATCAACAATAATGCCAGATATCTAATGAAGTACTAAACGAAACAAATAATGTTGCTTTAAAGAGACAATATTGTGGAACATTATTGGATAAAAATGTTTTATTTTTAATGTTTATAAAGAGTTTAAGTTTATGCAAAGGGAAATCACAAATTTAGACATGTTTTTCTTTAATTAGCATCTTTAATCTTGATTTAAGTCACCTGCTAAGGAATCCAAAACACTTATAAGGAAACAACTGAAAAAGATTCAATAAAATATCTTAAATGAAGCCAAATTTTGATTCAATTACATATAACAATGCAATTGACTTTAAGAAAATTTGTTTTTCAGTCATCTGGAATTTATCTCTTCACTTTCAAGTATTTGTTTCTTTATCCATATTAGAAAATTAAATTTAGATTTTTTTTTTGATAACTTTAAAAGGGAAAAGTAGGGACAAATAAGATAGAAACTGATGTTAAGCTGAAATGTTTCTTCAAAAGCCTTAGTAAAATTTTATGTACTCTTTACCAATTAGGTTACTTGCCACAAAACTCAAGTTTCTCATCACTTTCTAATAAAAGTGGCTGGGAGGGAATTGGTGATATTAATTGCTATGCAGCCAATCATCAATTTTGCATTTGGAAATGATCTGTGATTTAATGCATAATCTAAAGAGGGGTTTGAAATTTGTGTAAAAGTTGCTGGTCAAGTTAAAAAGGAAACTTCAAATCAAAGTTGCTCAATCTTCCAAGCTGTCACTGATGTAGGTTTATGATGACTTGAAACTTGTGATACATACTTGTGAAGAGTTTAAACTTTTTCTCTTAATATTCAATCATGAAGTAGATGCCATGACAATAGCATGTTTGTATCTCATTAAAAAAAAAAAAAAATAGCTACATTGTATACCATGCATGAACAGGATTAACAAAAACAAATCCCCAGTGTATTCTTAAGTCTCTGGACCAGAACTACACTACAATCAAAATATGAAGTTCAATAACTGCTTTTTTCTATAAAAATAAATTACTATTCTTAGTTTAGAGAAATGTGAATTGTCAGGAAGAAATATGTAAAACTGATTTCTCAACAGTAATTCTTAATGATGAATGTAGGAGTACATTTGAATCATTGGATAGGCCTGATGGCTGGAATAGAGTTTGGGTCTTTCATGGAAATAGTCAACTAATATGACTTAAAAGGCAACAGTGGAAAGGTGGGGATATGTTAAAAGTTGATGCTATCAATATCACAGCAGAGAATCATGGTACAGATCACAACCAAGAAAATTTAAGCTGCAGAGTATGTGAAGGAACATAGTCTTGCATGAATATTCTGCAAATGGGAAAAATTGCCCATCTTACCAAAAGAAAAGAAGAAATTCAAAGACATCAAGTTAATTTGTTTTGTTTTGTTATTTTCTCAACTGAATCCAGTTTCATATATTGTAAAATTAATTTCAAAAGGTCTCTTTATCATTAACTCATTCATTTGTTACTGCACCAACTCTGGTGTAAATCCAGATTTCTCTAAACAGATGTGTCATCCAATGTTGTGTTAAAATTTGACTCTCCCCTCCGTGATGACTCTCTGCTGGGAACAGAATGATGCCACTCTTGAGAGCAATTTGGGCATGTGTGACTTTCTCGGTTTTTAAAGTATCTGTTAGCACAATAGAGATGCAATTTAATCTGACAGTTGTTACATGTTTGGCCTCGTAAGCAGAGTCTGCTGCAAATATTGCACTGCCTTGCAACCTCTGGGTACATGGAATGAATCAGTGGATCAAGCTCAAGAATGCTACGTGTTGACAGGGAAAGTTCTCCTCGGGAGGATTTTTTCAACCACTTGTTTTTCACCATCCGCTCATAAAAACGCTGAGCATCATCACGGCTCATACTTTTTTCCAGACTGGCTGTGAGATTTAAGGCCTGAAAAGAGTAAGGATCTTTATTAGATTTTCTTTTGCTTAATAGAAAAACTAAAAAAAAATTTTCTAAGACAATCTGGATAAGTAAAAAGCTTACAATTCAAAAAACCATACACCTTATCAACAGTTTATTTTTATCTTTACTTGAGCAAGTTTGAACTTGCAATTTTTGGCCAGAGACCAGATTTATGTATGTCAAGTTTTCTTTAAAGAACATATATGCTCCATTTGATTCTGAAAGTCTTCTTGATACTCATTAGCAGAGTATAAAATTGAAAATTATTTTTCAATTTATCTATTCAGTAGTATAGTTCTACATGCTTGCAATTCTAAGAGATTTTACAAATCTCAAAAACCAAAGATTCCCATCATATAGTAGAATTTGTAGTAGAATATAATTAACAAGCATAAAAGGAAAATCTTTAAGTTTGAATTTTAAAATAAATTTATTAACAAAACAAAATGTATTCATTGTAACTGAAATGACAAAATTACTTGCATTCAACTTGTGGAATTTTGTAACATGAACAGCGCTACATTAATTAAAGACTTTGAGAATATCGCATGAAGAATCTATTCAATGTTACAATGGATAAACATGAAACTTGTAAATCCGGGTTTGAAAAATAAAGAAAATTAAATGACTTCATTAAAGCAAGAATTTGTTTTTCATCTTGTCAATATCTATTATATACAGATTTTATTTGTTGGATCAATGAAATCTTATCTAACCAACTTTGATTTGGCATTTATTGCTAATAAAGTATTTCTTTAGCAACAGCAGAACTAATATCTAAATTTAATTTTTTTGTCACTGCACCTGAGTGAGAAAAAAAGATTAACAACTTAGACAACTGATGTAGTCCTAGTCATATATTAATTTAGTTTTCAAGTTTTTAATATTTTATCAAGACTGATTTTACAAAGAAAAAAAAAAATTTGTCTTCAAGATTTTTTTCTTTACTTTTTAAAATCCAAAATATAAATAAATTTCCTGATCCAGAAAGGTTGTACCAAAATCACAGATCACAAAACAATGCTGACATTTGTGCAGGTACTTTCAAAATAAATCATGAACACACACACACACACACACACACACTTACAAAAACTTACCTCTACAGAACCAATAGCAGCATCATCAGTCATCATGATTGAACCTAGAAAAAGCTTGAAGAGTTCCAGTTCATTAACTGTATAATCTGAAGAGAGTCTTGTGATGGGACTGTCACATGTATTGACTAAACAATAAAAGCAGGTAGAATCATCTTCGTCAAATCCTTTGCGAATAGTCAAGTGAAATGGACGAATATTTCGATTGATTGTGATGACAAAATTGGCTAACTGTTGCATGCGTCCAGCTTCATCACTGCTCAATGGCTGAGAGTAACGTTCACAGCAGGTTTTGAATAAATTGCGAACACCTTTAGAATCCACAAGTCCATGTAACATGAAATACTGCAAAAACATTTGATGATGTGGTTTCATTTCTCCCATCTTCACATCAAGAAAACAGCAAAATCAGTTTGCAAATTTTCTGTACAAAAATAAAATTAAAAAAATGAATTGTAAGAATAAAAATTGCTTGAAATTCAAACATTTGTATTTTTTATATAAAATCAATACAGAATTTATCCCAAACCAGTTTTTATATATATATATATATATTGTTTATACATTCTTTTTATAAATACAAATATTTAAGTAAATGCTCTGTTTATAATAAACAGTATTAACAACATTTACCGGCCTGAATTTTAGATAAATCTCAAAGAAAATATGTGTCCTTTGCAAGGATCCGAACCTGTTCCTAAACAGAACCATCATATAGCTTGACATATATCATTTATACCACTGAATGGACTGAGGAGAGAATCATTCCTTGAGCCAATCTACAAACCAACAGACTTATTGCCACCCCTATCACCATCTTGTACAATGCAATTTTTTTGCTGACCAAATAAATTAGGACATTGCTCATTACAATATGAAAACTTATAACTTATGACTGAAGTAGTAGCAACAAGTAAAGTGATTCTACTCACCACAAAGTTTGTCTTCAATTTGTGCAGGAAAGGTTTCAGTATAAGGAAGTACAACATGGCAAATCAATCTAGACAATATGAAAAGCTTCAATGTTACTCCATTTCTTTTCATATCAGCACCAGAAGTCGCATATAAAAAGTTTATCTAGAAGCTGAGGTCTGGTTTTAAAGCGGCCAAGGACAAGACAACTTTCAAAAAGTAATGAAAGACCCTAATGAATACCTTGGACAGATCTAAAATGATCAATGTGGCTTTATAGTTGACTTCTATAATTGTGTGCACTAAATACAGGTCATGTTAGATTGTTCAAGAGGTATTAGACAATCCAACACTGTCTGTAATCAGTTTGCCATCTTGGTCAATATCTGTAACTATCTATTTGTTAAAGGCTGAAAGTCATCTCCAGCAGGTTTGTTCTTGTACAGAAATTTCATACCTATGAAACATTTGGTTATATGCCCTTGTTGGATCCAGCATTTGAAGAGGAGTATCAGCAAGGGGACAAAAGTGTGCAACAGCCTCAAGTACAATTTATAAAGGAGGTTATTGTTATGTGGTGTTTTGTCCATCCCAAACTTCAACATTTCACAAATTTCATCCTGTTATAGGACTATTATACCTAGCCATTTAAGTCAACTTGAGGTGAATAATGTCAGCTAAATAGATTTTGAACTGAGCAGAATTCAAGTCAGTCTCCTTGATGAAAAGCTGGTAGTAATTGTCCACAAATACCTTTGTTGATAACTAAACATCATCCATCCAGTAATATGACGCTAGAAATATGTTGAACATTCTGGAGTTTTGTAGCTATATTCATGGCCTCAGCAGACATTTTTTTTTTTAATCTAGCTCTTACAGAGATTTCTTGTTAAACGAAAAAGTCAGTTCTCCCTTAGCTATAGCTACTTAGCTCATCTCTTGATTTAATTACTCTAAATTCAACTATCTATACCACTAATCTGAGTAAACAACTAGCAAACTATCTAATTCTACTGTCCAGATTATAACGTCACTTATTCCAGGGTCCAGTGAATTCTGGCTTTAGGCTTACGAGGTGAAAGAGAAAGTCACTTACCAAGAAAAAGGACACATGCATTCTGTACGATATGCCAAAGACAAAGTAACCAAAATAGAAACAAGTCAGTGGCAACAGTTGTCATAAATGCATTTTGGATATGCTAATATTGTTTGTACTCTCCAACAGTTGACCAATGAAAAAACTATTCTGTCAATAAAAGCGATTACTGTTCTTGAATTGAAAAGTAGTTTATTTTTCTACCTCATCCGTCAACTTGCAAGTGGCTGTTACCTTGTGCAGTGGATTTCTAACCATTTATATGTATTGGGGATTTTTGGCATCAAGCCCACAATTCGTGATTTCGACATTTCTTTCTGCCACTGGATCTTCGAGTTTGGACTTGCAATTTATTTATTTTATTTTGTAATTGAACTGCCACATATCAATTTCTGAACAGCCTTCATGTCCAACAAGGATGAGTTGAATTTCCAGTATCCACCATTCCATAGTTAAACCTTATCTGTGTTCATTCATACTAGCTTCTGGTCCAAATAAATTAAATTATGGAAACTTGAACAACTTAAGAGTCCTTAGCGAACTTGTGTTGGTAAAGAAAAGAAAAAGCAAAAGAAAACAAATAATGAGTGTCAATTTCCAGTAGGAATAAGTCTGTAACAGATTCGTCTCTCAACCGCAACATTTGTAGCCAAAATCCTGTTCAACCACTGTCCGACGTAACAATCCAACAGGCCACGTAGAGACGGAAAAATTGGGTCACACACCCAGCCTTCGCTTCTCACCAACAAGAACGCCTCTGTCTCTCTCAAAACATGGCTCGCTTTATATAGCCGAGGACCGACCATAATTTACATACGAATCACTAGTCAACGAGATTTCACGTTAGTCGTCCGAGACCACCTGTCATAAAACATGGGCGCCGCCATTTTGATTCTTTTTTGGCCGTCGAGCAACCGGACTTTACATTACGCACAGATTCGTGAACGTTTCCAAGGTAGGCCATTCTTTTCTTTCCTCTTTCATCCAGTATTTCATTTTGCCAGGGACTGTTGCTACATTTGCGTAAGCGTCCACTATTCTGCTTACATATTACGCATGCCACTCGTTGGCTCTTAGAACGGCAAACTGTAGTCAGTTCAGCAGAACCCACAAACTGCTGCCTTTCAGTTCTGCTACAGAGCTCTTCTAAAACACTGTCAATGCAATTAGAATGTTACATCAAAGCAAGCCACCACTATCTTTCCAAATCCATTCTACCTGCTTTGGATGCTCATTTTGAAATTTATTTGTGACAATAATGAAAAATTTATACAGCTGAAGGAATACAATTAATCTTCCCCAGTCTACATTGGAATCAATGATGAGTACCCTAATGGCATGTCCTATGAACTCTTGGCCTTTCTCAGTTTTGATGGAGCCATCCTGAACAAACCCTTGGGAAATTTTTAGCCTTATAGAAGGAAGGATGTAGATTATATATATATATATATATATATATATATATATATATACACACACACACGTGTGTGCTCCTTTTTTACTGTGAGCCTGAAACTACCAAAAACAACTTCACAAAATTTTAAACCATCATCTCAAAATCAAAATGTTTTTTTTAGCTATGTTATCCTAACTATTTGTTAATAACAAAAATAATGTTAAAATGTCTAAGAAATAAATTTAAAAAAGTTAAAATATTAAAGTTTAAAAAATGAATATACAAAAACAAAGTTAAATTATACTGTATTTTTAATAAAAATCTCAACTTTATTTTTTATTTAAACATTTTGGTTAAATCACTGATCATTTTACTAAGAATTAATTTTCATGCTGCATAGTTTTCATCATACATTAAGATTTGTATTCAATGCATTCATTTTTTATATAAAGTATATTAATACATTTCAACTAGTTTTTAAAGTTTTTATCAAAAAGTGAATCACCCTGTGACAAAATTTTTCATGTTTATCATTTTTAAAATTCTCCTCTGTATATTCAACTTAGTTTATCTTAAGCAAAAAACAATGCATAAATGTTGTTTGTTAATAGTTCCTTCAAGTTTTTTTAACCAAAAATAGAGAAAATATATAATCTTCTTGTTTTCTTTATTAAAGCAAAATTAGTTATTACAATTAAATTTTTTTAATCATTTCACCCCAAGCAAGGCAATATTGTGAGTGTAAGAGAGTGAAAAGACTTTCGTGAGGAGAAAGGGCAATAAAGGAACTGAAATCAGGAAGAATTTTGAAGACTGTAAGTGGCAGGGAAGCCAAAAATTAGATGGGAATTCTACAGGTGAGAAAAACTATTAGAATAGGACATATGGTTGCATCTAGCTACTTCAAAAGTAAAATGGTGAGACCTAGTTGCTAATCTAGTAACATGCTTAAATTCATGCAGTCATGGTACCAAAGAGGAAAGCTCAGAACAATTGCCATGAAAATACTTGTAGAAAGACCAAGGGAAACACATCGAAGAAAAAGTGACTGGGAGATGCCAGATCAATTACATTACAGACACTTCTTTGAATTTTATCAAGAATCATGAGATATAGAGTAGGAGCATCAGACCAGATATGTCAGCAATATTCAATGCATGAACAAATCATAGATTTATAAATGGGCAAGAAAGATTCTGACAAGTAATATTCCTAGCCATAGACCTAACAAATAATTCAATATAATCACTTCACTACATGTTAGTGGAAAATGTGAGCCTAAGAAGGTGCAAAGAGTTGCTCTCCTGGAGAGCAGCACCATTCATGCTGATGGTAGGCAGAAAAGGTTCTCTATGGTGATTAAATGAAAATGATTTTGTTTTAGGCATTCAAATTTAGAAGCCATTCCTTATCCTAGTTAACTACTGATTGGAAGGAATTGGAACTCAGCTCTCCAATTAACAATTCCAAGCCATTATCCATTACACCAATTACACATCCAAGCTTACCACACCTGGTATTCCCAAGCAGTCACTCATCTAGATATTGACCAGGCTCAACATTGCTTAACTTTAATAAAGTGTATGGAAACCAGTGCTTTAAAATGATGTGGTAATAAACCAGTAAATAAATTCTTAGTTGGGAAATGATGACATCAGGGAGTTTTGTTGATGAAGATAAAAAACAACATAGGTCCATAGATAGAGTCCTGGAGATCCTTGCATTAACATGAAAAGATCTAAAAATGTGTGTTCAACATGACCTTCATTACACAATTTGAGGAATGATTGTATTAAGCCAAATATTTAGTCCAGAGACACCATATACCTTGAGTTTGTGGAGAAGGCTTGTATGCCAAATTCTGTTGAATACCTTCAAGATATCTAAAACCACAGCATGATCTTCGCTGTTCATATCTAAAGCTTGATAAACAAATTCAGTGATAGCTATTAA